TAAACAAACGAATAAATTAACAAATTGATACTTTTATGCTGAAGGGCTCAGACCGGAAGTCTCTGTGTGTATCTCTGAACATGAGGAAGTTGAAATATACTTTTATCGCCTTTTATCGTCTCAGCTTCGGTTTGATGATGAATCTTTATCACGATATGAAGTGAAACAATAACCGGGTTAAACACTCGGATCTTTTTAACACCGTTTCATCGCGTTCACTCGATTCAAGCACGCGCTAGTCTTGTTAGCTACCGGCTAAGCTAGCTAGGCTATTGCTAAAGCTAACAGGAAGCCGCAGCTTGTTCAAAGTTTTCACTTGTTGTTCGGTTTCATCGTGAACTCTCGAGTCGCTGCGTCTTTACTCGACTTCACTGTTTTACTGAGGGCGTTAGAAACTGATAATAATGGACACGGCAGATAAATGTCCCATCTGCCTGAGTGGATTCCAGCATCAGGCCGTGGCGTCTCTGGAGAAGTGTCCACATGTCTTCTGTCTCCAGTGTCTCCTGCAGTGGTCCCAGGTAAACACACCCGACACACAACTTCTTCTTCTCATTGCCACTGAAGAAAGTTTTGCTTCACAAGTGAATTAAAAGGTTCATCGTTTCATATTCGATGATTCATGTTCAGGAGATCTTTGGAAAAGTCCTTTAACAATCATTTAATAACTTCTCTGGAGGAATCTCCAGTGTGGGGACTTTATTTACCACTCAGGTATAAAGAAACCTGTTTTACTCCTTTCAACATAAATAGAAACTAAAGACATATAAAATAAAAGTAAATAACATCATTGTTTTGGTTCTTGTCCTTCTTGGAGGGGAGTTGATAAGAGACTTTGTCAATTAATATTTGGTGATTTAATTCTCTCTCCATTCACTGATCACCTCATCGTTTTTTTGAACAGCAGATGAATAAATAAATAAATAAAGATTATCATTGCAGCCCTGTTCCGGATGCTGTCGGTTCTCTTCAGTTCTTCTTATTCCCTCTGTTCAACGTGATGAGATTCTAAAACAGCACCACACATTTCGTTGCTCTGTCCTGAACCTCAGACGGCCAACACTTGCCCGGTGGATCGGATCAGCTTCGCCTTCATCTACCAGAGACGGTGTCCCGGAGGGGACGTGCAAAAGAAGGTGATCATCTGCAGCGTGTGAAGGAAGTTGTGCTGCCAAAGTTTCAGGAGACCTGTGAACAAACAGTTCTGCAGCTGAACTGCTCGTGCTGCTCCTGCAGATCAAAGTGAAGACGCAGAACGAGGATGTCGATGATGACGAGGAGGCGAGCGATGCTGTGATCTGTGAGGAGTGTGGACGCAGCGACCGCAGGCACCAGCTGCTGGTGTGCATACACTGTGACTCAGGGTACGACGTTACACGACCGATGCACTCGTCAAGTTATTGTTCACATGTGTTCACGGTCGCAGCGGAATTTGTAATTTGACATGATTCAAATGAAATCGTGTTGAGTCGAAGCACAGTGTTGTAACGGAAGGAAATACCTGAACATGAAGTCAAGTCTTCTCCATTTGTTGAAGTGAATTCATTATAAAACTCTGCTGTATATTTACAGGTATCACATGAACTGTCTGACACCATCGTTAAACACTGAACCTGGAGGTGACTGGATCTGTCCTGACTGTGCAGCCACCCCCCCTCATACAGGTGAAGCTATTACACTTATTTAAATTTATGTATTATATACTTAATATACGTAAAACGGACTTTCAAATGCCTAAATCTTTCTGTTTGAAGTCTATAAAATAACAGTAACATTATAAATGTCGATGAGATGGATATAATTGTTCAGAACTAATTGTTTAATTGATAATCATGAGACACTTTGTTTTTTCTTGTTGGGAAATTCTCCCTGAACAGACGACTTCATGTTGGAGGACGGAGAACTAACAGACCTTTTAGCCGAAGTTGATGAAACTGCATCGACCAGCAGTCGCCTTCGGCCCTCGACAATAAACCGTCCCAGCGGCTCCGCGGAACGACGACACAGCGCGAGACTCCGGAGCAGAACCGGCGTTGACCCGGATCCTCGCCCACAAACCTCCTGGGTCAGTTCAACGTAGTTTATTCACCAGCATGAGGTGAAAATATGAGTTTTGTGTTTCAGGTGACAGCTCAGTTTGTCTTTACGCAACGTTTCCGTGCACATTATTCGAGTAATATTAAAGTAAATCTTTCAATTCAGTTTCCACAGAACGAACAAGATGATCACAATATCAGTGGGCAGGATGATGGTATTTGACATGGTGTCACTTCCTGCCTGAGTTCATTACCGTCATGTATTAATCATAACATTTGAGTCACTGAGGTATTTTGTTATTTATCTAAAAACCAAACACCAGGTGATATTTGAAAAACCCAGAAAGTCATTTACAACTTTTACAACGTTTTTCCAGTCTCCTCAGAGAAGCCTCGAGCTCTATGGATGGAAAATATTTGATTTGTCATTTTGTTTAATATTGAGCCTGAAATTCTAAACCAATCTCCGTCTCGTTTTTTTGTGACACAGAAACTGTAAACATGGTTTTTCCAAAATGAAAATAGACAAATATTAGTGAAAATGAGACGTCTCAGTTCGGGTTCATGTTGTAAAAACTGGGTTAGGAGGGGATTTATTATTTCATCTTGTTTTTAATAAACAACCTTTGAAACGGCTGTAAAATCTTTGTTTCTAAATCTTTAGATTTAGATCTGAGGTGGAATTTGTGAACTTGAACGGAAATGATCATCGTGTGATTTGACTCCACCTGAGAAAAGAAAACTTTTACTGGTGATGATCCATCCATTGCTCGTTCTTCGAGCCAATAACATTTAACATTATATAACATTGTTAACTAGAGCGCCATTTTCTTCTAACAAAACAAAATAAAGTTTTGTTGCAGTCTGTTGTGATTTAAAAGTTCTCTGAAGCTCAAATTTAACTTTGATGACGACAAATTCAAACATTTTCCTCCTGTTACATTAAATATACATTTATATTTAATGCTGGTTACTTTTCCCCTCTCAGTTGGGGCTCTTGAAAATCGAACCTGCGTTATATTTACTTCTCTGTTTCAGAGGTTGGGGAATTTTCCCTGCAAAAGTGACAGTGGCTTCTGTAAATCTGTCTCTGAATGTTTTGAACATCATCCAGATGTTCAGACGGCTATTAAACTAAATTCCGGGCTGTTAGAAGATCTCCCGGTATTTATTTTTCAGAAACGCAGATGCTCAGCTCTGCGAGTTGAGCGCAATCCTTGTGTCCTCTAAAATAAATAAAGCAGAATGCTCTGTAAATCAGCCAACTCCCTCCGTGCACATTACTCATTTAAGTAGCCTGAAGTGTGCCGCTAACTTGCTGGAGTAAGTAGAGCGAAAGAGAATTCTTCAAGCAGTCGACAGGAAGAGAGAGTCTGCTCTGAGGTTTCATTCATTTCACAAAGACGTGAGAAAAGTGAATCACTGTACGGGCAGCGCTGTGGCACTGAACCACATTTCCTGCTTTGACAAACACTTTTCTTAAACTTGCACGGTTGCAAGTTTCCATGAAAACCATGTCTCCACTGTCTGACATACTGTACCCGCGCTTCAGCCTGAGGTCACAGAGTCAGATTGTTATTTCCTTGATGAGGTTAAGTCATTCATTTCTTTTTATTATGTCCAGTAACACTCAACTGATTTGTTTTGGTTGTTGTAGTTACATTTTTTATCATTTCAGTATTTTTGACATGTTTTTGCTTTGCACCTTCCCAGACAATGGCGACAGTTCAAAAACCTAAAACACTCTGAAGTGTTCGTTCTGTTTTTCAGCATGTACCTAAATACCTGTTACGAGCGTCGAGGCGTGCAGACAGAACAGATCAGGTGACTCCACCTGATCGCAGCGATGGCAGCAGCTCTTCAGCCGGTGAGTTTTCAACCGTCAGTTCACGTCCTCACTGATTCTGTCGTGGTTTTAAACATGATGGAGTTTTTTTTGTGTGTGTGTGTTTCACAGAATCAAATTCACAGACAAGTCAAAGGGTTTAACTTGAGCTCCTGACAGCAACAAGCTGAGCTCTGGAGTGACCTCAAGGTGGCAGCATTGTGTTGAGCACAGACGCAACTACACAACCTCGAGAAGAAACTGAACCTGCAGCTGCTTTTTTTTTTCTGTCGTTTTCAATTGTTTCACATCTGTGAAATGTTTTTATTCTCTTTAAAAGAAAATGTGTTATTTTGAACTTTGTTCGTTGTAAATAAAACCAATGAAAAGACCCAAACCAACAATGTGTGTCTTAAAATCTGGTGACGTCCAAAACTTAATTGTGAAACAAGTGATTTATCTGTTGCAGTTTGTAGAATCAGTGTTCTTGGTGGTTTTTGGTGCCGTACGTTGACCAGGAAAAGATCTGAGGCAGCTCAGATTATCAAAGACTCCAGACTTCAAACAGGATTCAGCTCCTGTGAGCGTCGGCAGGATTCCCTCATCCCGCCTCCTGCGTCGCCTAGCAACGCCAGCCTCAGTGATTTCTCAGGATGTCGTGCGGCTGAAACACGAGAGGAAGCTGCTCCAGCCTCACACACACACACACACACACACACAGATCTGCCGCCTCTCATCCTTTAATCCTCCGCAAACAAACATTGTGCAACAACGACAATAATGCGATGTCATGAAATCACTACACCAAGATATCACTCAGCTTATTAACCTGGAGCCAGAACATGTGCTCGGACTTCACCTCAGAGGTTCCTGATATTAAAGTAAAGTCATTAGAGCTCATGTGTTCCCCCTCTCTGTTGATATGTGTGTTTGTGTTGTGATTCAGTGGGCGGGGACGTGACAAGCCTCCAGCTCATCTTGTCCTACTCCCCCCCACCCCCCCCCAAACAACGTGCACAGAAAAACAAACGTTCACCTCTTCCGGCCTGACGTTTGTTGGACTAAACAAAATGTCCACACGCACATTTCCCAACATGTCAAAGACGCTTCGTGTGACATCAGCGTCTGTAATTATTTGTCTGAAGCTGTCTGCTGCTCTGTGGTTTCACTTTAACCCTGCACGACCCTGATCCCCCGTCGTCCTTGAACCTTCCTGTGAGGATTCAAGTTGCCTTTTTGGCTAAATGAATATTTGATGCTGTAGTCTGGCCGACGCAGTGAAACAGGCTTCCTGAGAAAGTACTTTTCTCTGACCCGGTGGTGACCCCCACCACTCGGGGGCTGGGGTCGTGTCAGTGGCTCCTGTGATGTGTTTTTCTGAGGAGCCCTGCAGTGGAAGAGGAGCTGGGCCTCCGGTGCTCAGGAGCTTTAGAGCTGGCGACTCCTGAAGTGATTAGACTCACTCTAACACGATTAACACACGACAGAGCTGAGGTCAAAACTTCTAATGACTCGTTAATCCACAGGGTCTGTTTATTAGAACGGCGCGTTCGGGAAAAGTGGAAACGCTGAATGTCGGTAACGTGACAGTGACGTGACTCGAAACTAGAGATTTTAAAGATATTTGGGGAAATGTACTTATTCTCCATCTTGCCAAGAGTTGGATTAGAATATCAATTCCATCTGTACGTCTGAAAACGAAGCGATGGCCCGGAGGTGTAAGAGTGAAAAAGGGAAACAGTAAAAATACAAACCAGACTCGGAACACCTACAAAATAAAGTTTGTTTCAATCTGTACAAACACCAACGTGTCCAGCACGTAGCTGCTTCTAAAACCACACCTCATTGAGTTTTCATGTCAGTTTTTTCAGGAGTCCCTGTGCTTTATTTTTGTGCAGATCCAGGATCAGTGCTGCAGCCAATTCGTGATCCGCAGAGAGTCTGTTTGTCCGTACACTGTGTCCCTGAAGATTGAAGAGGATAAAGGTCAGTGAGGTGACAGTGATGAGACTCGAGGGCAGTTTCCACAATCCTGCTGCACCTGAAATCAACGAGAGGACAAACAGAAGACAGAAGCCGTCCGGGACCTTTGCAGCTGCAGGAGGGCGGGACAGCAGATCCTCCCTGACCCCAAACATCTCACACAGACTCTTCAGCCGCTTCTCCATCCAAACCATAAACCAGTAGGTTCAGAGACAGTTTCTACCCACAAGCCACCAGGCTACTGAACTGCTGACACAATTTTTTTGAACACAACGGCACCGACCGCAAACACATGCACACAGAGTCAAAATTACTGTTTACATTTATCTTTTGCACGCATCCTGATTCGCTGCCTCCTCGCACCTAAAGTTTCATAACTATTTTCACGTCAAATACGTCTTAACTCTGCACATTACATCTCTCCGCAAATTGAAATTTAAAAGATTTGTTAAATGCAAGTACAAAAATGTTCTTCAATTCAAACAGAATTAGAAGATTGGTTCTCTCCAGCTGGTGATGTTGAACGTGAAGCTGCACGCAACAGCCGACTAACTTAGCTTAGCACGGAGACAGGAAACACAGGGGAAGCAGCTAACTGCAAATAATCGTTTTATCTTTTTTTTGTGTGGATTAAACAAACGAGATACAAAAATTACATCATGAGCTCCAGAGGTGCTTGTTGCCAGATTTTGCTGGATCCAAATTATTAGCTTTATATGTCAAACTATTAAAGATTTCTATTTTAATTCCTCAAAGCTCTGAAAGCAAAGACGCCATCTAACAAATTCTCCCTCAAACTGTCTCTGTTCTTCCATCCATCTTTAAAATACACTGGCACACACACACACACACTGTGCATTTCCTCCGGTGCGAGCGCTGTGGTCCTGTTGCAATATTAAAATGAATTTAGAACAGATTTGGGAATACGTTTTGGAGTAAGTCAGTGAGAAGAACACGTGCATGCATAATACACAACATCCAGCATCCACGCCTCGTTGGAGGAGGCCTCGTTCGCACCTGCAGTGGAAGCTGTGTGCTCAGCAGCGCGACTCGCCGCTCTTCTCTCTGACAAACCAAAGAGGGAAGCAAAAGTAGGTCACCCTCCCGGAGACCCATACATCTCTCCCTGTGATTCCACGCCGCAGTGGTGCCTGTGTCTGCCGTGAGAGCTGATGGGAGCGAAAAACATGGGAGTCGACAGCTCCCTTCGGTGTGTGTTGTGCTGCACAGAGGCGGAGAGGCCTCGTCCCTGACCTGGGAGATGCCACAGTGTTGGAAACAGAAGCAGCAGGAGATAGATCAAGAGCAGTCGATGCTCTGATGTGATAGCGAGGCTGCATGTGCTGGAAATCATCTTAGAGTGAATCTCAGTCATCGTATGATACTGACACCCTCTCTGACTGCCCTCACTGATTCGAAAGGAATCGTTTGATCAGCAAAAACATTTGAAATCCATAAAATAACTGTTGACATCCCCAGAGCCACGGAGCCAGACTGCTAACATGTCGAAAACTAATTCAAGGCCAGATGAGCGTCTGATTCCCTGAAGTTAACTCGCTCAACACTGAATATGTTGGAGTTTGCTGACTGGCCTGATTCTGCAACATTGAAAAATGCATCCACACAAACATCTCAGAGGCAAACCTTCACTTCCAATCTGCGAGAGCAAGGAGACGAATAACACATTTCCTGCGGTATTTGCTTCACATTTGTCAACTATGGCTGAATGTGGGCAGTGCAAGTTGTGAATTCAGCTGTGTGGTCTGAAGCATGAGCTGTCGTTTGTTTGAGGTTGTGGAAGTGGTTGTTGGATGAGCACTTGGATTGTGAGATAAATGATTTGGCTTCATGTGTGAGGAGCTGTCCTGTCAAACATCATCCAACATTTGGACTGCGGGTGAAGACCAAACCTTTCGTCCAGTGTCCCAGAAAATCAGAGAGATGAAATCTAATTAAAATCTGAGTTACCGGTAGAATAAATCAGACTTCGTGCCGCTCCTGCTGCTGTAATGAAAATCACAAAGTTTGCCCTTAACTTCCTCCAGCAGTTTGCACTTTCAGCTCAGTCGAATGCTGACTCAGCAGCTTCGTTAAACGTGCTCGGTGCTTTGATCTCAGATCAGTGAGGGAACTGGGGATGAGGCAGAGAGGAAGAAGGGGAAGGAGGGATGGTGGAGGGAGTCAGAGAAAGTGTTGTTTTCATCCGCAGAGCAGAGGACGACCTTTAAGACACAAACACGAGGCCACAGCTGCGGTGCAACATCTGCTCTTAGTGCCTCAGACAGGAATTTATATTTTTAATGGACAGGTGATGGGTTGACTCTCCAGCTGAAGACTAATATATTCACTAATGACATTTAACTGACATTCAAGGAAGAAACAGTCGTGGCCTTGATGTCCGCTGTCTGCACCAGAATACCAAAATATTGTCCGTTGAGACGTATTCATCATCTGACAATAGACGATGGGCTCTGAGATCGAGCTTTGACCTTCACCTGAGGTTGGAGCTAAATGCTAACGACAGGACGCGAACACGCAACAGTTTTTCTATCACGCAAACCATTCACACACTTCAGGGGGGGTTCAGGGTCTCGTAATGCGTCCCGGAGGAGCTGGATATCGAACCACCGACCTTTAAGTTAGTGGACGAACTGCTGAACCATTTTACTGGTGTCTGAGTGTAGCTGCTGGCGATGAGTCCAATACTTCTACAGACTTTTGACCAAAACCAAAAATGATGACGCTATAGATGAAAAGTTTGAAACGAGTCATTATGATTCATCCTCTGGGGACTTTATGAATATCAGTCAGGATCCATCAGGTGGATGTCGAGACACTGGACCAACAAATCGACACTTCCCATCGCGGTTCATCTGCTAGCGTGGATAAAAAATAAGAAAGAAGTCTTTCCTGTGAGATTTCAGTGAATGACGGCTTCGTTTACTCATCTCTGCTGAGAGCAGATGAGATCATCTCCATTCACGGCCCGAGCTGCAGCCTTTCTAAAGCCGGGATCGGAAGGAACAATGGCGCTCTATGAAAACCTGCAGTGAAATCCCAAGCAGCCGCTCCTTCTCCAGCCTTTCCCGTTTCCTGTGAATTAATAATAGCCTTGCTGGGGAAATGGATGCACTTAAGATACCCTCATTTAACCGCTGCATGGGAAAGTAGGATGCTAGGGCAAACCTGGAAGGCGTTAAACGTGCAAAGGTTTCTTTCAAGTGTTTTCAAATCGTGCAATTAGTTTCAGTGATTCAGGCTTTTACGTTAATTAGATTTCGCAGCTTGTTCAGCAGTTAAACATGATGATCCAACATAGAAAAGACACCAGAGT